AATACGTTAGTGTATAATCAACTAAACGTAAGTACATCTTCAAAGTACCAGTTTACAAAATACAAACTACAATAGTACATTACAGTTTTCAATAACAGCTGGTGAAACCAGACACACTCTCAGTTACAAGTTTTACATAAAGAACATTGGTTTACAAATAGAACGATTTTATGGGAATAAAACTACTTTTCATATACAGCAGAAAATATAGGATTTTCTGAAACAGTTTACATAATCAAGATACAGAGACATCCTTTCAAACATAAATACTTATGCACTCACTCAACTTTATGTTGATACTCTATTTTCAAATTACTTGTGTTCTCAGGGAAATAATACACAGGTACTCCCCGAGCTTTTTGAGAAAATTGAGCTATTTTGGAGTCATATCTTCTTCTTTAGTATGACTATTTTGGTTTAAATATACAATGATTGAACACATGTAAATACTTATACTTTTTAAATACAATGGTTGTTTGTACTTTGATTACTATGATGCATTAGTTGTGATACTACAAATGAAGTCCTCCACCCCCGGACGTTTCCGCCGTCTGGTTTGGGGGGTGTGACAGGGCATGCGAACGATGGGCGTACGCCTTCGGACAAGCCTCGAAATTTGAGCCATGAATTTCAAAAATTCATAACTTTCGCATACGAGCTCCGTTTTTGACGTTCTTTATATCCACGCGTAGGTGAGATTATACTCTACAACTTTCTTTTAGACTTCGTCGGCAAATTTTGAATTTATTTTTAATGTTATATTTTTAACAGGCCGGGACAGGAAAAAAATCCGTTAAAAATTCATAACTTCTTCATCCGACATCCGTTTTTGTCTGTCTTTTTACTGTTGAACTACAAGTGTCGAGATCTTAGATTCTCGTTTAGGTTGGTTCGGCTAAAAAATCGCTCGATCTTTAATTCGAAATTTGGGCTGTATACTGCTATGCCAGATCTTAGAAAAATCATAACTTCCTCATACGAAAACAGATTTGGACGTTCTTTTTATGGATGTTCTCAGTTTAATGAATTCTACGACTGTCATTTTGATTGTTAAGGCTAAAAAGCATTCGATTGTAAACTCACTCTTTACGTAACACAGCGTTGTGCCGGTTCTGTCGCGAAACTTCGATAGATCATAACTTTTTCGTTATAACATAGATTTCGGTGTTCTTTATATTTTTGGAATCCTTGTCACGACGACTGCCACTTTATTTATAGATATCGGGTTTATCTAACATTTTATTTTTGTAACACTTTTACTAAATGGTTTATGCACAGTAATATTATTAATTTAACTTAATTAAATTAATAAAACAATAACTTTGACTTTTAACTGGCTTGTTTGACCTTTTTCAAGGTAGAAAATATCGGGTTGTCACAGTAAAGTTATAAACTTTACGTGCATGCAAGGTCTTAAAGGCCAAAACCAAACTAAGGAAGAGGTTTTAGGTAAGGAGAAGGCCATAACTTGCTAAAGACTAGAACTTTATGACTATAAGGGGCTAGATGAGTCCAGATTTGAAGTTACAACTTCAGATCATGCCCAAAACCAGAGATAACTCCATAACCAACTAGAATAGCCATAAACCTTTGCATGAAGAGATCTAACTAGAGAGAATTCAAGGTAACGACTTGTTACCTTCAAAATGATGCTAAGATGAAGTAGAATTAGATCCACAAGCTACTCCTTGCTCCAAGCTCCTTAGACTTCAATCTCTCTTCACAAAATCCACCTTCCAAGCTTCTTACACACAAAAGTGGAGATTAGGCGCGATTAGGGTTTTCTGAGCTCAAGGGGGACGGTAAGGGAGGCATAGGGAGGCTAATGATCCTTTAAATAGAGTGTAGAACACTGGAAATTAGGGTTCCATGTTCTAGCTTCAAATCGTCGAGTTGGGTCCTCCAACTCGTCGAGTTGGTTCCATAATCCACGCTGCCATAATGGTTCCTACACGACGAGTTGGGGCCTCCCAACTCGTCAAGTAGGCTTTCTAAAATGCATAAAATCCTTAGAATTCCCTTCCTGGAAATTGGGATGTTACAATTATGGTGAATATTTTTGTCAAATGAATAGTACAACCAACAAATGAATCAGTTAGTGAGAGCTACAATCATTTTGAGGAAGAACAGGAGGGGCAATGATGTGGGTATTTATAAGAACTTATTTAGTGTCCTTGCAATTATTACAAAAGATCCAAACTTGCAATAAGAAAATTAGTATCAAAGTAATGATAATTGAATACATGAGTACTAACATTTCTTAGTTCTATTTCAAGGCATCACTTCAGATGCTACAAGAATCATACAAGCTACACAAAACAATATAATTACTAGCACTCATTAGTTCTAGTTCAAAGAGATGATAAGCTACCATTTCACCGATCTAAATATTTAAATAAATTAGAACCAATTGCAAAATACCATTTTCAAACATATAGAACCACATCAACAAATGTAAACATCATATGAGATTCATCACATGTAAGCATTTGATTTCAGATTTCTTGAGCAATAAAACCTAAAAGAGAAAACATATATTTTTAGCAACTGTATGCATCCGATTTTCATACATATCACATTTTCAGAAGTGATTTCAAGTAAATATATGATTTTCAAAACAACAAAAGATTACATACCGGCGGTGAGCAGACTAAGATGATGGCGTGGATGGCATGGTAAGCGACGATGACGTCAGCGATGGCGAGTAGAGGACGGAGACGACGAGTAAATGTCGACGTCGAGGGTTTTTTTTCCATAGATGAAGGGCTTTCACCGGAGACGACTTCGACATGCTCTAACCGTTGATGGTCCTTGTGTCTAAGATATTCTCACCTGCGATGAAGTTTTGAGAAGAAAGATGGCTTTAACTGTTGAGAGAAACGCATTTGAGAGAAGGGGAAAAAGTATTAACATGTCTTTTATTAAGCTTAGGCCTTCTAGTATACTCACCACGCCAGCCACCACAAACTACCACTAATCATTGCTATACTAGTATACTTACCACTTGAAGAAGAGAGAAAGAAAAGGAAGAAATAGATGTTGCAAAAGAAAATAAGCCAACCACAATCGTTGTTAAATGTGATGATGACCACTAACCATCACGACCACGACCGACCACGACCCACCAGGATGGTGTGCACGGCCGTGGTCGTTGCCACCTCAACCACGAACTTGGTCAGTAACACCCATTTTAGACGAACTCAGAAGAGGTTAGAAGTGGTTGTATCATGGATGTTTCAAAAAGAGAGGACACATACATCTTTTTAGTTTTTTTTTTCTAAAAAAACAAACGGAATGTTTGTGCGCTGTCTACGCGATGCAGACAAAAGAGATCAAAAAGCTTGACAAAAAATAAACACCACCTTAATGATCAATGCTACAAATCTCTTAACTTTAATTGTTACTAAGTATTTGATGGTACTGTAACATAATCTAGGTGCTAACCATTTTATTTCGTATTATTTTTTTTCTAATATGTTTTTGTTGTTTAAATGTTATAATATAAAGAATAATATGGTACAAATATTCGTTAAATGCAATAATTTCTAGATTTTTTTAATTGGCAAAATAAAAAAAAATCAAAATTCCGGATGTGCGAAATGGTATCCGAACTCAAATCCAAAGTTTTAAATATCCGAAATTTTGGATACGTATTGGCATATCAAAATCCACTTTCCAAAATTTAGATATCCGGTTTTAAATGCAGAAAATTGTCGTAACCACGGACCGATCCCATAATTTGTATTTAATTATTTAAAGATTATCCATTATAAATTTGTGTCTTACTGTCTCATGATGCCAACCCAAGCTCTTTAGTTAGCAAAATTGGGTTTTGGTATGTTAAATGGGCCTTACATACATTAATAGTTTAATACTCATACATAAAATAAAATTTATAGAATACACACCAATCTTTTCGATATCAAAATTGGATTTTGGTTTTATATCTTTCTATTCTAATAAAAAAATAATTTTTATTTTTTTATGATGTATAATACTATTAGACTTCCTAATTAAGTTATGCCACTTGTCAACCTATTGATTCTCAACTTCAAATTTTACATTTTAAATTGCACTCTAATTACATTAAAATAATAACATTAGAAAAAAAATTTAATTAAAATTAATACAAATTATAAGATAATATAATTTTACGTATTTATTTAAATCAACGATTATAATTTTATATAACTAAAAATATATCTCTTAATTAATAATTTGTTTAAAATAATTAATTAATAATTTTGAGTTTTTCAATGAAAGTTAAATTAATTTTGTAACCGTGGTTCCCACGGGTTATAAACTAATACATATATAAAATTTTAAAAAATACGTGTTTTTGAATGGTAAGAAAAATAGTCGCTATTTTTAGAAAAAATCCAAATATAATTATTGTTTACTCATCAACAATTATAAGAACACTTTGTTTTTGTTTTACTTTTTACATTTTTATTTTGAAACGCTACAATTGTGATGTTTTAGACTATCAATAGTCTAGACTTTCCGAAATTAATGTGTCAATCAAATATATCATTTTTTAATAAAATTTTGAAATACATACTACATAAGGTGATATTTTTTTTATATATTTGTCGAACGATTTTTATGAAAGTTTTTTTTTATGTTTTTATTATTATTATTTTCAACCAATTCTTTCCAAATGTTATTTTTTATCAACTAACAAATAATTTTTCCACTGCTAGCTAGTTTTCAGCTAACTAACATTTAAACTATCATCTAGCCTTTCAACTACTCTCTAAAACATAACCTTAATAGTTATCATATTTTTTTATTAGTGTTTATGTAAATTGTGTTTCAATGAATGGCTTTTATCAAAGAAATATATTTTTTTTCTCGTTTTATTTTAATTGAATCATGAAATATAAAGTGTTAATAATAATTCAAATACATTAACTCCTATCTAACTATTTTTTATTTTATCCAACACATTTCTAGTAAATGACAAAAAAAAAAAAACAAGGATAAATTACTCGAATGGTCCCTATGGTTTGTGGTAGTCTGCGTGGTTGGTCCCTACAAAGAATTTTTAACTCGAATCATCCCTATAATTTTATTTTGTTTCGAATTTGGTCCCTAATCAATGTAAAATGACAACTATGCCCTTACTGGTTTTTTCTTTTACTTTTTTATAATTATTAATTCATTTAAAAATAGTTAATTACTATTCCTCTTCTTCTTGCCCTAAACCCAAACACGAGAAGGGTTTACTTCTGCAACTCTCATCCCCACCACCGCCACTCACTCCTTCCTCCCACATCCTCTTTTTTCACTAGAAACTGAATCATCCACCCCTTTTGTTGCCTTATACCTACAGAAGAAAAACAAAGTTGACTTTAGAAAAAACAACTTCTGAAACCACAAAGTATAGAAAAAAAGGATTTGGAAACCATTAATCACAAGCACTTCGATTCTCTCTACTCTGTTGCTCTCCTCTCTCTCTAGAAACATATGTTAGACGATCAGAGACATCACTAGAGAATAACATATGCTAGATTCTCTCTACTCCACTGCTCTCCCCAAAATTTTCTTTTTCCCTGGTGATTTCAAAGAACTTAAACCCAGAAAAACGAATTTCAGAAATTCATGTTTAGTTCCTGGTTTGGGTTTCTCCTTCGTCAGTGAAATTAAGCTAGAAGTCGAATTTCAGAAAAATATTTTGTTGTTCTTATAAGAAATCGAATTTCATAAAGCTCCTTTAATCACTAAGATGTAACAAATCCAACAAAAGCCACATCGCCAAAATTCGATTGTCAACAATCTAGATTAAGGTTGGGGGCTGCCAAAAACGGAGGCTAGATGGAGAGATGGAGCAGCGATTCTACTTATATCTTTGGTTTTGAGTTTGTAGGTTCCGTTGAATGATTTGATTTTCGTTGATTGGATCTAGGTTTGAGGTACAACCGAACTACTGGGAATGGGAGGAATACGGTGGTGGAAAGAACGAAGGGTGGAAGTGGTGTCAGAGATCCATTGGGTAGCGAGAACGTAAGATTTGCCGAAGAGGGGAAGGACGGGGGCTAGAGAATGGATGTGGACGATGGAGTTCTTGTGATCAATGATGAAGAAATAAAAGGAGGAATGAGACTCACGCTTATTAAAAAATTCTTTTAATAAATAAGTTAGTAATAAATAAACAGTTAAAATAATTCATAAGGGCATATTGGTCATTTCATGTTGACCAGGGACCAAAATTAAAAGATTCTTTGTAGGGACGATACGAGTTAAAAATTCTTTGTAGGGATCAACCATGCAGACTACCCCAAACCACAGGGACCATTCGTATAATTTACCCAAAAAACAAAAAGCAAAATATCCAAAATAGCCTAGCCAATCGTGAATTTCTTTAATTACAAACTAGCTGGTGTGCCCCGCTCCGCGGGGGTCGGTTTTGATCAGAGTTTTATTTTTTTCTTTTTCGGTATGTATTAATTATTATGGCTGTTTTTGCTTTTGCTGGGGACTATATGAAAGCCATAAAAAGTTGGATATAGAAACATAGTAATGCAAAAAAACGAATCATTTTCTTGTGTCCACTGGTAGCAAATCCTCTTTTATCAAATATCAAAAACAAACAAAAAGAAAGTCAAAACAAAAACCCAAATAAAAAAATGTGCTCTAAAATGATTCCAAATACAGTTAAAACTTGCAGCAATTGCCACAAGCTCTTCTAGAAGCCGTTCTAAATGTCGCAGAGGCTATTTACAACACCAAATCAATAAACATTATTAAATCAACAAAGCAAAACTATATTTTAGTGTCATGAAATTTACCCATTGTGTTGGACCATCAACCGGAGCATTAAGTGGATCATTATGCACCTGATTTTACAAATATGCCCTTAGAAACCCGTAAACTACAGATCCCAAATGCTATTTAAAAACTATATATTCTTATTTCATACCTCCATAAAAAGCCCATCCACTCCCACAGCGACAGCTGTCCTTGCAACACAAGGTATCAGTTCCTGGAGACCTCCACTACCAACACCACCACCTTCCAGGTTTTTCCCAGCAGGTTGCTGCAATGCATGTGTCACATCTGATACAGAAGTTGAATAAACCTGCAATAATGGCAAAACTGTAAATACCAATCAACTTACCTTCACAATATTGTCAGCATACTTCATCACCATGGACACAGCAATCCCACTGCAAATAAATAAACATTTTTATTTTTATTTCAATTAAATCTTATAAAAAAAAACATATCTTTCAGATGTTGGTATAAATAAAATACCTTAGGGCATGGTTGATAATCATGAGAACTGTAATTAGTGAATATCCATGGAAAAATCCCCTGCACAAAAGACAAAAATTGTAGTTAACAATGTATTGATAAAAATATGAGAATGGCATTTACGTCTTTTACAGAGTATAAGAAACATACTTGTTGACAACAACATCAAAATCTTGGATAATGATTGCAACAACATTGAAAGCCATCCCAAAAACATATAACCAGAAATTCTGCACATTTATGTTCCTCGAAGGACGTTTCTTTATTATAGCCTGCAAATTGATAGGAGTTAAACGCATGTGAAATGACCATTTTGCCCCCATTAAGTAACTATTGGACCTTATACTAAAAATCAACAAACTACACTGTTTACCTGTGTAAACTCCAACAAAACCACTTAAAAGTGCCATGATCTGGAAATGAAATAATCGAGTACATATCAGAATACTAATTATTTTAATAAACAATTTTTTTTGTAATATGACATAATAAGTTGAAAAATACAAGGACTCACAATGGCCATTATCCAACCTATGAAAGGAGTCTGAAGCACATGCTCAGAACTGTTAATGAAAAGTGAAACATAATCATAAAGAATTAAATAACCAACGATACTATTATAAAAAGAATTGAATGAAGATGAACTGTTTGTTTATGGAAATTCACATCCAATTCAGAAACAATATAAGAAAAAAATAAACTTGTAAACTGGAGATAATTAAACTTACGAAGGATTAAGTTGAGCTGTTGTGCACCCTGCACAAAGTAAAATGAAAGCAGCCCATTGGATCTCACTTAACCTGTGAAAAGTCAAAGTCAATTGAATTCAAGTATTTATAGTATTAAATTTTATCTTTTATTAATGTTATTGTTATATACTTATACCTACAACAGGACAATTAGCTTCTCGAAGCCACTCAAAGCTGCGTGGATCAACGATTAAATCATCTACAAAAGATTGTCAAATTGTCAGGTAACAAAATTTAAAAAGAAAAAGAAAAAAAATAAGTAGGCTGAGACTTACTGTAACCAAACATGGTTCCTCTCTCGCAAACCATAACGTTTTGATTTCCAGCCAATCTGACTTTTTCTGCTGAGTTGGCCATCACCTGAAAAGTCAACGGATCAGAAACTTATCATTGACCAATGGTCAATGAAGGTGAAATGACCATTTTACCCTTCACTTTAGAATTGCACAACATCAAATCATGTTCTTAGAATTGTTAACTGCCATGTTCTTTCCCAGTAGGCCATGCCCCAAACCTGAAACACCATGATAAACCAAAAAATATACTCGCATGCCAATATCAGATTTTCAATGTCAGAATTTCAGATGCATCAGATTTTCATAATCAGGATTTTAGATACATCATATTTTACTATTATAGATTTTGAAAACCATAGTTACAATATGAGAATTTCAAAATCTCATTATAAAGAATTATAGAAAACAAAATCTTATATTAGATTTTCAAAATCAGAAATCACATATCAGATTTTCAATTAGAATTCAGAATACATCAGACTGATCAGAAATAAGGAAAACGATAACATCAAAAATTGAAGAAAATCTTAAAGCATAAAACCTTGTAAAAATCACAATAAATGTAAAAAATTAAATTACCTAAAAAAATTAGGGAAACTTATAGCAATCTTGGATCAAGAAGACTACAATTTTGATCACATAGCTTCACTTCAACAGTAAGCTATATAAGAAAGCAGTAAGATATATAAGAAATCAGTAAGCTATATAAGAAATTTGAAATCTCATAAAATTTAATCACTGTTAAATTTTTCGAACTTCAGCTATTCTAGTTATGCAAAAATTTCAATTACATGGAAAAACTTAGCGGGATCAATTCCAAAACCTCCTGCATAACAAAATTAAATGTTCCTTGGGCCTGCAACATAAAAATGATACAAAAGAGGTTCCTAAATGTTAAAAGTAAGACATGAGTACATTTTATTAGAACCAAGTATCGGATTGTTCTAAAAAGCTCCTTTACTCACCCATCACTGAACTCATGGAAGAAGCAGATTAGTAATGGAATCAGAAAGAATGCAGACAATTTCATAAAATGCCCGTCTAAAAAAAATGAAGCCCAATTTGCAAAAAAAACCTATAATAAAGGGAACATTTCTGCCAACTCTGCACAACTGTTTTCATGCGTAAATATTATTAACATTTTTGGAAAGAAAGAGAGAAGGTATGTTATAAGTTTATATAAAGATTTTTTTTCCACGACTTTTTATAATACCTGAACTCAAATAGAGCACTGCAACTATGGTGGCTGTCATTTATAAGGTTGCCAAGTTTCTTCAACTTCTCCTCTTCACTGCAAAAACAATTTCAATATTACCCTCCATATTGTAGACTTTAAAAAGATATAAACAAACTTTATTTATCAAAAAATATAAAATCCTAGAAAATAATTAGAATCACTCGGAATTTAATGACACCGCATCCTTGAAAGCATATACACATTTCGCTTCTGAGCACACATGCAAGGCTCTCTGATAACACAAATTTACAAAAAAAAAAAAGTGTGAAGTGTACAGTGGTCCAAAAAATGATCACAAACGAACAATTTTTTATAAATTAATAAAAAAAAAATAAGTGATGGGATACATGAGAAAGCACATCTAGTGAAGAAGTGAAGAAGCAGAGTCAAGAAATATAGAATCCAAGCTTTTACCAGTGACCAACTTGGCTTTAAATCATCCCAAATACAACTATGCAGTACAGAAATTAAAAAAAAAAAAAAAAAAAGATCTTTCTTAGTGGCATAGTGAATGCAGGATACATCTGGCAACCAGCCATGTAACCCACTTTACTCAAAACAAAATTAGAAAACAATAAAAACAAACCATCTGGTGGAATCATTCAATTTGTCCAACACAAATGGATAGAACAGCTTTTTGCTATGAAGATTCGTTTCTAATTTGGTCAATTTACTAAAAAATAGTTGTTAGTTACTTAAAGCATTGCAGTTTTTTTTTAAAAAAAAAATTACTTATGCTACCGGCCAACTACACGTTTGACATATGAAGATTTGGGCAAACCACATTCCTTAAGTAACCCATCAAGTTCTGCTCATAATATTTGAGCTGACAAAGAAAGTTATTACAATTTCTAAATTTCTTTTATTTTTTGAATGCAATTTGGGAAATACCAATGAAGACAATCTAATTGCTCCCTAATCAGATACCGTATAGTGTAAAAGTTCAAATATTCATATATTTTCAACAATCACATGGTTAATACTTAAACAATTCGCCATCTTAATCACTGATGAGACAAATAGGGCAATCAGAGGGAAATATGCCTTGAATTAACATTAGATGATTAAATGATAACAAAGTACCTGTTGAACGCTTTCTTCAATGAAAAGTGTCTGTAACTTAATGAAAACCCTTTGAAACGCTTAAATCCCTGAGTTTTTTTCTTTGTTATTTGGTTTAGACATTTCTTCAAACAGGTAGTGGGCATAGATACGAAGACACACATAGAAACGAAATTAACATGTAATCGGAAGTAAAATCCACAGTGAAATGAAATTAACATGGAAACTTACAGCCATCAAAGTCGGAGGTCTGTCGACAGGTTTTCTCCACTGGTGAGAAACAATGCTCAAATGGGGTGAATTCCAAAATCAACCTGAAACACGAATACAGAACATAAGAAAGCAGAATCGCAAAATCCATTACTGCATCACAAACATCTACTGGCTATAGCATTCATTGAACACGTTTTTTTGGATCTTTTTTTAATTCGTGAAAGTGTGATCATGTTAGGAGATGCTTCCATGGAAGACCGCTGGAGTAGATGCGAACATGTAGCCGGTGTCCTCTGTGTCTCTATTTCTTCCAAAAGAAAGAGAACAGAGACTGGGAAGAAGATCATCCAAGGAGAAAAAAAAGCAGAAAACGGAGAATCAGATAACGAATATATAGAGAGAGAAGCCGGTGGTGGCGAACAAACATATGTGTAGAGAACAAACAGATGTATGCATCTGAGGAAGCGTATTTTTGGTTTTCGTCGAAGAGACGTTGTGCGCTTCATCGGGTCTGTGATGGTACCATGGACTCGAACTCGGACGGTGGTCAAGACGGATGGTCGAACTGGTGGCAGATGAACATAGATCGACCCCGAAACAGACATAAGCTTCAAATAGGATATACTATTGCAGGAATCGGAGACAGGGCTAATGCTACCGATGAGTAAGCGGACACCCTATGTAGTCGACCATGTAGTCCGCTGGGACCGACTAACCATGGAGAAGTCGAAGAAGCGGCGGATATGGATTGGGAAGTGAAGTGGGTGAAGTAAAGTGGGTGTGCGAACAGAGAATAGAAAGGTCATTTGATCGGAGAGGCGGTGGAAAGTTCCAGAATGTCCCTGAGATAAACATCAACAAATCCGATTAACGATGAACGACACGTGTCCACAAAGAATACGGATATTGACATAAAATGACCCTAAAGAATATACATAATGGCAAAAAATACCCCGCACAATAGAGGGAACATCCACAAACATAATAGAGGTACCATTTCTGCCAAAAACTCGGAAAATTTACTATTCATGTTGGAAGACAGGTTTAATATATATATAATTAATATGCCGAATAATGTTGGGTCCGGTCCATAAAAGGTCCGAGTAAAGCCAGACCCGATTGTTACCCCAGTATCGTCTAAAAATTATCCGTCCTTGTATCTTAACATGAAAATGACCAACAGAAGCCCATATATGAAAGAGCAATCCAACCTAGAGCAGAAAAAGTTCGGAGAAAGCCCATCTTGGCCCTGAACTTGTCGCTTATTGAGTTATTGTTTAGCTCATGTACGATCTATATGCAAGACCATGCAAGTTGTATCATACATGATACATAATTACAGGTTGTACGAAGGCCATATGGGTTGTACCATCATTACTGTCAACTTTCAACGACCTACAAGTTTTAATGTTTTATTCAATATCAAGTATATGTTTCTATAGGGTTCATACAAGTCGTACCAAAACATGGAACAAGCTGTACAAATCCCCATACAAGCCCTATCAACATTAGTGCTGGTGAATATCCATTTTTTTTGGAACCGACAAATATATAAAATAAAAAACACCTCACATCAAGATGATGCAAGGGGAGAAGTACGATACAGTAACTGAAAAACAAGAAAATTACAAACAAAGAAAAGGACCAAGATTCCAAACTCTCCATGTTTTTAAATGAACCTCTATGTTTACACCAAATGAAACTTATTGATTTTATCCTCTCCACAGTATTCGCCGGCACAAAGGGAATGTTGTTGAAAACCCTTTGATTTATGTCATTCCATATACACCACAATCTTCCACATAAGATCACATTCAACAAACTTCTTTTCTTTTTACACTTAGACCATCAAGATATGAAAAGTAACATATCCTTCACCGAATCAAATCCATCGTATGAGATTTCACACCAAGATAAAATCAAGTCCATGACGGCTTTCGCCAATGGGCATAAGAGTAGAATGTGATCGTTCGTCTCCTCCTCCAAGTTACATGAACCACACATAATCGATGGAGCTGGGACTCCCCTTAATTCTAACGAAACTGATGATGAGATTCTACCAAGCTTCGCTCTCCAAATAAAACATAAGATCTTAAACGGTATCACTTTGCACCATTCAAACAGTCCATCGCAGACTATGTGACTCGCCATTTCAATCCGTTCACGTAACAATCTCACAAAGAAGTGATTGTCATCACGAAGTCGGAAACCCAAAAACCTTCGGTTGGTTTTCAATACACAATTTCTTTGGGATCGATATTGAGATTCTTTAACACAAGCCTGATTTTGACTATATTCTTCCAAACACCCGTTCTAGATCTGTTGGCAAAAATAGACCAATGTCTTCCATCTAAGCCGTGAATGCATCGAATGACTTTCGCCCATAGTTCAGAGTTTTCATTTTTCAGTCGCCACATCCACTTAGCTAATAGAGAAATGTTCAGACTTTTTATAGATCCAAGCCCGGTGCCACCCACCCTTTTTGGGGCTATAAATGTTTCCCATGCAACCCACTGATATTTTTCTTTTCCAATTTACTGCTCCATATAAATCACCTTCTAATTTTCTCAATATTTTAACTATCATCTAGATTTTCAATAGTTGTCTATACGGCCTGTGCACCGACCGTATGCTATCACATTTCTAGACAGTTATGATTTTCCTAATTCGGCCCTTAAGTCCCTCCCAATCAATTTATACTTCAAAATAGCTATTCTAACCGATTACGAAATAATACATTGAATTAAGACAAAATTACATTTTTGGTCCCTGTGGTTTAATGATTGTTTTGAATTAAGTCCAGTTTTTTTAATTCCCTAATGTTAGTCCAGTTAATTAGAGTCATGTGATCAGCACGTGATAGGCAAATTCATGTTTTTCATTTTTCCTTTCTTCTATTGCCGCCACATTAGAGATATGACTTGATGTAATCTTCATCCATAATAACTAATTCTACTCCTGATTTGTTGTAATCTTCATTTATAATAACTAATTCAATTTATTTTCCCATGATTATAAGTGATCGCGTCTTTCCCCATTGTTTCCTACTCTTTCAATTAGCCAAACCCTAAAAATCAACAAAGTATGAGATAAGTACTAAGGTCATCTCTAATGGAAGGTCAATGGAGAGTTTAATGAACAAATGATGGTTATGTGGCATTCAATGGGATAAAATTGACATTGTAGGCAGAGTTCAATGAATGGGGTTTAATACACATTCAACCGTGTAATATCATTTGTTTTTTTTTTCTTTCTCAATTTAATATAACAATTTATATAGAAAGTAACATTGGATTAATTTATTATTATTATTTTTTTGCAATAAACAAACTATATATTACTAATTTTTTGATTTATTATTTATTATATTTTATATTTAATAAAATACAATATGTAGTAAAATTTGTATTTTAGATATTCTACCTTTTATTTAATGTATTATTCGTAACTTTTAATTTCTAAATTGTAATCTTTAATTAATATTTTGTAGTTGTCATTTTGAATTTTTAATTAATGTAATATTCTAGTTTTATTTATTAATATTATTTATAAAGAATATAATAAAATGTTGATGTAACAATCCATTGAATTCTTAAGAGTTTAATGAAATGTAGAGTTTAATACGTAAAATGATGTAGTTAGTGGAATGCGACAATCCATTGAGCTTTTAAGAGTTCAATGCATTGAAGATGATCTAAAATAAAAGGTAACAAAAGTTATAATCTCTTAGCTGTAGTTGTAGTGGTCCATATATTTTTTTTTTTATTCTTAGATTACAGTGTCTGCTCTATGTAGAGGTTTTTTAAGCAAAGGCTTAGGGCCCCTAATTCTAAGGGGCCCTATATTCTCCAAAGTCCAAAAGTTTAGTCCATTAAAAAATCCAATCCGTTAATCACAAAATAAATGAAGCCGAAGAATAAATCAACCATCGTTGCACTCATGAAACTAAAATGACATTGCATTATTCTACCGATTTTGATTTTTGCGACATATTCATCTTCCAAGTATAGCAAAGGCCAAAGGGCCCCAAATTTTTGGCTCGCTTTGAGCCCCCAAAATGGTTGAGCCGCCCATGCATAGATATTATGAGTTATCATTGTCCATATTTTAATTTTTTAATGTACATTCTAGTTGCTGTTTCGGCTCTGGTTTTGTTTACTATGATTGATACACCTAGGTTGCTGATGGCATATTTGGAAAACTCTCCAAAGTCAATTAAACTGATTTAAATTTAATGGTTGTCTGATGATTTCATTTATAGGGTGTTGACCCCAATAATGGTATTTACCTAGTAGCATATGCAATAGTTGAGGCAGAGCATACAGTGACGTGTTATGGTACTAGTACAATTCGTATTAGAAAACAATTGATTGGTAAATACTCTTTTTCCATAATGTAGGTAGAGCATAGTGTGACGTGTTGCTTAATAATATTTATGAGGTTTTGAATAGCAAAGTGATAGATGGGAGAGACAAGCCCATCATAACAGCTTTGGAATATATTAGGCAATATTTAATGAAAAGAATCGAAAATGTCCAAAAGGTTATTGAGAAGTCTAATGGACCACTAACTCCACATGCCACAAAATTAATGGAGGACATCAAAATAGAAGCTGCAAAGAATAAGGTGTATTGAAATAGTGGACATAAATACGAAGTTATTGGTCCATGGCTTGATCAATTTGTTGTAGATATTCATGAAAATAATTGCTCATATAGAAGATGGGAAGTGACAGGCATGCCATGCAAATATGCAATGGCTACAATATGGTATATGGGAAAAAATGATGAAGATGCTAGCATACCAAAAAATTAGACACGTCCTACTTACTGGTTAGAGTATATTCCAATTTTAATTAGCTTTATTTTTTTTAAATATTTTTGATAAAAACGAAGATATTGAAAAGTACAAATTACTTATCTAGTTAATTTCTATAGTTATTTAAGAAAAAACATGATAAAAGGATATATGGGATATCATGTGTAAATTTAAACAAATTAAAAAAAAAAACTTAAAAAGATAAATTTAGCCATCACGTGCAAAGCACATGCCTCTCTTTTAACATAGTGACCAAATGTGTGACAAAAAACTTAAATAGGGATTGTCAGTTAAAATAAAAAAAAAATAGAAAAAAAATAAATAAAATAAAAAATAAGAAAACTAGACTTGATTCAAATCAATCATTAAACCACAGGGACCAAAAATGTAATTTTGTCTTGAATTAAAAACATTGTTTTATCATTCACGCATTTCTTGCAAGAATGGATAATTTCTCTGGTTAATCTCCAAAACGACTATTACAAAGAGTTTCTCAAGATTTTAGCTATTTGCTCTCAAATACCAATTGGCAATAATCCTCAACTAACTTCCAATTGAAGTAATATAAGAGTTTTACCACAATAATAGTTGAATTATCACAAATAATAGTTTTTGATGGCATGACATGTTAACGTGTCAAAATTGATTTTTTTCCCCTACAAAAAACACTAAGAGGGTGGTTGACTTATCTTTTGAGAGGCCAAAAGTCCTTTTTGAAAAATTTGCAAAAAGTCAGGTTTTCCAGACTTTTCCAAAAAGTCAGTTTTCCTTATATCAAAAATTCAAAAGTAGTTTTTAAAATGTTTTTACCAAACATCTTTTACCTTTTATCTTTTCCAAAAAGAACTTTTGGCCTCTCAAAAGATAAGCCAAACACCCCTACGTTTTTATTTTATTTTTTCAAAACACTATCTTTTTGTCCCAAATATAACATCATTTTTTCCAATTTTGTTCAATGTTAATCATTTTCCATTTTAAATTGTATAATTTTTTTTATTATA